AAACACTGCACTTACTGGATTTCTGTAGCCATTGCAGTAAGCCTTAACATCAGGTTGAATGATTATTTCGCCCGTATACTTCTCTTTCAAAATCATGTATGATTCTAGTTATTGTGCATTTTCATATAAATGTAAGAGCTTTGCATATATCTATGAAAAGTTTTACTCATATTTTCAATAGAAATAGCGTTAAACCTATAGATAAGTTTGGAGGGAACTGACATCTTTATTATGTTGAATCTTCTAATTCCTGAGCACCCTATGTCTCTCCACTTCTTTAGGCTGTCTTTAATTTGTTCCTTAACATTTGTATTTGTTAGGATACAGATACTGTACATATTTTGCTAGATCTTTACCTAAGATTTCACCCCTTTAAAATAATTGAAAATGTTAGCTCCTTTTTTTTTGGTATTGTCTCACAGTTTCCTGAGATTGTTCATATTTTTATGTGACTGTATTTTTTTCTATTTCACAAAGAGTAAATCTAATATTTTGCCCTCAAGTTTACTGATTCTATCTTTTGGTATGTCTAGTATAAAACTAGAAATATAAAATTGATTTCACTTCTAAAGTGAATGACTAAATAGTTGACTAACCTTGTTCCCCACCAGAAACAAAATTTCACTTTGTTTTCATTATTTCATGTTTCACTTGTAAAGTTTCCACTTGGTTCTTTCTTTTATTTCTTTACTGAGATTTTTTATTTCTTCATTATTCTAAGATAATCAATAATAGCATGTAGAAGTACTTTTTAAATGATGACTTCTTTAGTTTCCATTAACAAAAAATTCCAACATATATCCCAGGGGCTCATGAGGATGAGAAAGGAGGATGGTGAGCTCAAAGCCAGCCTCAGCAAATTAGTGAGACCCTAAGCAATTTAGAGAACTTGTCTCTATGTAAAATATTTACAAAGGGGGTCCATATGTGACCTAGTGGTTAAGTGACCCTGGGTTCCATCCCTGGTACAAAAAAAATTCCAACATATGATTCATTTCACTTATGGCATCTATTGATCATATTGTCTCATTTGTGATTTTCCTTATTATTTGAATGATGATGCAATTTTTCATTGCATCATGGTCATATTTATATTATATTATGAGACTCTGTATTCTACTTCAGCTCCTTATTTTATCATCAGAGACACTCCCTTCATTATTGTAACTAGAAATATATGTGTGTATATATGTTTGGCTTCTTATGGGTACCTCTGATATCAACTTTGCAAAAATGGAGTGGTGACTCACACTTCTTCATGGCACATGGGTAGAATGAAAGTTTAGCTTCCTTTGCAGAATTCCTCACACCTTCATGGTGAAAGTATAATACTGACTTATACCACATCGTTACATCGAAGTGGGAATGGAGGTGTATCTAAACAGTTGACCACACTGATACCAATGTTGAATATCATGCAGTCCCACTGTTCTCTGTCTTTCAGATTCATTGACGGTGGATGGTGACAAAAACTTAGCTTCTCTTTGTGTTTCACTGATACTAGAGGTAGAAGGAACCAGAGTGTAAGTCAACTAGCCCTTTTTTGCTATCAGGTTGGTATAGTGGGGAGGTGCTATAGCATAATAGTCAGTAACAATATCTCACACCACCAGATGAATGTGAAGGAATAATTCACCATTAGACCTTACTAACATCACCTGGGCAGAATAATCAGGGCACCAGTTGCTTCTGCCTGGTGGAAGATACAAGACCAGCTCTCTGTTCGGCATCACTGGTATCAAGTTGTCAGGAGAATGAAAACAGTGCCTGCTTGTGTCACACGGGGAATATAAGCTCACGTCTCTACTTGATCTTGACTAAGTTACACTGTTAGAGGAATTGGAATATCATGTGCTTACACTAGCAGTACATTAGATATCAATTCCTCTAATTTGAGGCTGTTGACTAACTTTGTTTCCCACCAGAAAACACTCCCGATTCCTTAGCATGACAGATTCTTTGCTCCAGATACAAGTTCCTGACCAATTGTCATATATCCTATGTCTATGCCTATGTACCTTTCCTCTAGCTGATTTCTGCTTAGGCTAAAAAGACTTCATTACTCTATAACTCTCTAAATATCTTCCTTTTGTTTTTTTACCTTTTCAAATTGTCTCTGCTGATTTTGCAGACATAACAAATCATGGGGCTGGGGTTGTGGCTCAGTGGTACAGCACTTGCCTTGCATGTGTGAGGCACTGGGTTCAATTCTCAGCACTGCATATAAGTACATGAATAAAATGAAGGTTAGTCAACAACTATTTTTTTTTAAATCATGAACTCATTTGTGTCCTCAGTGATGTGTTTGTACCTGTTTTACAGCATGTATTGAAATCTGGTTTGTACATTGGAATTAAAAGCATTTATATCTATCTTCACCACCCTCTAGTACAAATTATCAGTGTATCTCCAAGGTATATTTTCAATAATGCTTTATTCATCTAGAAGTCACACTTTTGGAATATTCCAGCAATTCAAAGACTGGTTTTATATTGGCTATAAGGTACAAAATCCTGCCTTGGTTTTGATTTACACTCAAGCCTTGAATATGATGACTTGAATATAAAATAGAGCAAAGGCATGAGCCTGGTTGCTTGTTGAGAGAGCTGGTAAGAAAAAAAGGGCTTGTTTCAGGGAATGACTAGTTAGGGCACTGTTGAGTCCTTATTATTACTAGTTCATATTCTTAGAGATTTATTTGTATTTATCTAATTTAATTATCTCACCTACTTGTTGATGTGGATTGTATTACAATATACATATTGCAGGTTGGTCAGGAGCCATTTCTCATATACCCTTTGTTTTAATATGTTCTCCTAAACATTTTAGACCTGTAATGTATTCATAAAATAAGTAATCTAGGTGTTTTAAGGGGATAAAGCTACTGGGTGGGGGGTTCTGAGATGCCCGGATCAGTCTTCAGAGGCTTTTGTAAGACTACTTGTTTCATTGAGGATGGTTTCTTTAGATTGGTGCAGGGCAGCTAAAAGCACTTTTTATGTTCCTGTAACATACATTTATTGAGTGTCAAGTCTGTGTAAAAGGTACTGGGATATATAGTAAAAATACCTTTGTTAATGTCATTGTCTAGTGGGAGACATAGAAGGTAAACATTTATATCAGAGTGATAAGGTCTTTTAATCCATAATGTTAGTCAATGATCTAAATATCAGAGTCATAATTTTAAAAAGGGTATTGGACATTCTTTTGTATCCTTAGGCTGTGGGGCTGTTAGCAAGAATTCCTTTGAAGGATGTAACCAAGGGGACTGAGGGAATTGTTTGCTTTGCATTTGTGTGCCCTGTGGGTGGTCTTCTTCTTTCACCTGTCAACTGCTCTTCTAAGCAAAAAGAGCTTGGTGTATCTTGCTCTAGGGAATTTGAGGGATTTGGCTTTTTGTAGAACATAATGACATATTTACACATACTTGCCTTTTGACTTTGAGTGTGCACATGTAGGTTGTATACATGTGTGAATATCACTGTCATTCTAAAGAGTTTAGAAATAATTTTTCATGCATGTAGTTTTCTTGGTTTCTTAGCACTATTTTTTGTAATATAGTATTGAAAAAATATCTCACATCCAAAGTCCTTTCCTTGGAAGCACAAAAGGAGAATGCTCACAAATTCTTAAAAAGTATGAGATCTAAGATTTTTGCCACTCACTTGGACAGTAATGTAATGTGGAGGCAGCCAATAATGCCACCTCACAGCTCTCTCTCTCACCTGATTTCCTTTATTCCAGGTGAATTATTATTTTTTTTCTGATAATGATAAGAGTCCTTTTCTTCTCACAAGGGATGGGTGGAAGAAAGAGAATGACAGTCTAGACACTCCAGGTTTTATTGTCTTTTTGTAAGTGGAATGTAATGGTTAAATGTAATGGTTAAAGTTCTACAGATATTCAAATTTAAACCTCTTAGCAGCCCTGTGACTTGAGGCAAGTGAGATTATTGATATTTTGTTTTCTCTTAGATTTTCCATATAACTATGCAGTGCTTTTAAAATTAGAATACTAGTAAATATAAACTCACACACACCATCTTCTCTTTCTACTAAATTGAGGCCACAATTTTGTTTTAATATTTTGTTTTTCCAAATATTGATCTTATTTCATATGTAGAAACCATGTCTTTAAAATATTCCCTAAAGACATGATTTAGATAAGCTAAATAAACCCCATATATGAAGTTTTATTACTTATTCTTGTATCATAGGGAATTTTGAATTAATAATGGGCCATTAAATGAATATTAAAATAAATAGTCTGGATCAAAAATCATGTTTTCATAACTATAGAAAATAACCAGAAAATTTTAATGATATAAATGACAAAAGTAAGATATAAAAGTATGACATATGCTCCCCACATGTTTATTACCAAGAGAGAAATCAACATGGTTAATATTTTACTGTATGTTTAGATACCAAGGTTAAGGTTAGTTTCATATTTTATTTCACTATATTTTTAAAAATCTTCCACAACGTCGGTGTACCTCCTTACACTCGGAAAATAAAATAATTATTAAATAATCATTACCAGGAATATTCAGGTACAAAATATAAAGGAGAGTTTGAATCAAGATGGAGGACCGTTCACAGGCTTTATTTTCTCTGGTCTGTAATTCCTCAAACTGAAAGAAACTAGTTTGTATGTACATTTGTATGTGCAAACTCTGTGTGTGTGTGTGTGTGTTTTGAATATATGTATATATTTCGAAATGTTTGTGAGAAATTCCTGTAAGACAGGAGCAGATGAAGCCGCTGTGGAGGAAGCTGTTGGGCAGCAGGCAGCTCGAATGGGGGAGGGGAGCCTGCCTGTCTGACTGGGGTTTGAAGTAAACAGTCGGGGGGCGCGAGAGGAAATAAAGGAGAAAGCCTGTGTCAGTGTAGACTGAACGCGGGCGCGCGCGCTGACCCACCCCACTGCTGCCCGCGAAGCGGAAGGCGAGAAGGCAGAGGGCGGGACCGAGGTACAGGCGGGCTCGGAGGGGGCGGGCTCTTGAAGCTGCAAAAACCGCGGTTCCACTGCTGGGCCAAGCCAACTAGGACTGTGAAGGCCAGGCCGCGCGGACTCCTCAGAGACGTGCCGCCGCCTGCACTTTTACTGCTGCAGCCATCCCTTTATCTTTTGCCTTCCTTTCCCGCGGTCTCCTACGGTGTCGCGGTACTGCAACCTCAGCTTCAACTACAACAACAGCTAAGTGGCCGATTCCGGGACCTGGGGGTGGAGGTTGGGGCGGGCACCAGGCGCGGACAGCATAGGCGTACCCGCCATCTCTTTCCAGCCACCACTGCTGCAGTCATCCCTCCTGGACGGCAGAAGAAAGCACCGTCGAGAGGCACACACTGTCCTTGTGCCCACAGTCAAGAGTTAGAGCGTTTCTGCCAAGCTCTGGTGAGATCTTTGATCTAGGAGAAGGGAGGACCCCTTTCTGAGATTGCAGAAAAAAAAAAAATTCTTATTGGATAGTATTAACTTTTTGTCCTCATAATCAAGCAAGGGGCAATTCTGTCTAAGTCCTCCTAAGCTCTGAACCATGTCTCCTCCGACCATGCCTCCCACGGGAGTAGATGGCGTGTCCGCATACCTGATGAAGAAAAGGCACACCCACAGGAAGCAGCGGCGCAAGCCCACTTTCCTCACTCGTAGGAACATCGTGGGCTGCCGCATTCAACACGGCTGGAAAGAAGGCAATGAGCCAGTGGAGCAGTGGAAAGGCACTGTGCTTGAGCAGGTTTCTGTGAAGCCTACACTTTACATCATTAAATATGATGGCAAAGATAGTGTGTATGGACTAGAACTGCACCGAGATAAAAGAGTTCTAGCGCTAGAGATTCTTCCTGAGAGAGTGCCAACTCCTCGAATTGATTCTCGCCTGGCAGATTCCTTGATTGGGAAGGCAGTGGGGCATGTGTTTGAAGGCGAGCATGGTAGGAAAGATGAATGGAAGGGTATGGTGCTGGCACGAGCCCCAGTGATGGATACTTGGTTTTATATAACGTATGAGAAAGATCCAGTCCTCTACATGTACACCCTGCTGGATGACTACAGAGATGGTGACCTGCGCATCATTCCAGATTCCAACTACTATTTCCCTATGGCAGAACGGGAGCCTGGAGAGGTGGTGGACAGCCTGGTGGGCAAGCAGGTGGAGCATGCCAAAGATGACGGGTCCAAGAGAACTGGCATTTTCATCCATCAAGTGGTGGCCAAGCCCTCTGTCTACTTCATTAAGTTTGATGATGATATTCACATTTATGTCTATGGTTTGGTGAAAACCCCGTAAGTTCATTGTGCTCTTTGTAATAGTTGGGGAACTATTACTTAAAATATTTTGTATTTTCATAATTGTGAACTTTGAGAACAGTTTTGGCATCAGAAATTCAGGAAAGTAAGTAAATCTTATTGTGCCTCCAACTCTTGCATTGACTAATTCCACAGTTTTGCCCCAAGTATACTGTGGTAATTTTGATATTGCTTTGTTCTTTAATGGAACATATAAATTGGGTGCTAGTAGAATATTAATGTGTCTGTATTTTAAATGTAAAAGTAGATTAACCCTACCCCATATCCTTCTCCCTCATTATTTTTAACCTTTCTACGTTCTTCTTCCCACATGTTGAGAATCTGTCCTACATCCTTCCATATTTTCTTCTTCTTCATGAAGTTTTTCATAGTATTTTCTGTTAAAATGGGAAGCCATATTATTTTCTCTAATTGCTTTTCTCACTTGACATAGATGACATCCTGGCTGATCAGTAGCTACAGTCAATCTCTCTCTCTCTCTCTCTCTCTCTCTCTCTCTCTCTCTCTCTAGCTCTCGCTCTCGCTCTCACCCTCACTCTAATAGTTGCATATTCAATACATGTAGATGTACCAAAAAGTATTCAACCTTTTTGTTACTGATATTCATTTATTTCCTTTTTCACCAACATAACACTACCAAAACACAAAGTGATGTTTTATTTCTATAGGTTGGATTCTCAGAAATGCTAACAAGTCATATGTTTTATTTTAAGAAATTAGGATTATCATTTAAAATGAAAGTGCCTATTTTCAGCATCCTCTGCAGCATCACTTTTTAAGATTTAAAAATCTGAAAGGTGAAAAATTATGTTATTGCTTGTCACTGTGACTGCCTTTTACCTGACTTCAAAGAGGATTTCTCTTTCTATTTGAGTGTTTTTCTTTTGTGATTTGACAATTATTATCCTTTCTTCATTTATCTATTGAATTGTTGATCTTTTCCTTAAAAATTTATGAAGTGCATTTAATAATTTGTAGCTTATGTGTTATGATTTTTCTATTATATAATCTTGATTTTATTGGTTATGTCTTTTATTTTATAATTGTAAAAAAATTAGGTAGATGATTGTCTCTTTTATAACTTTCATTTCCTGTTATTTTCCAGATGGATATCACCATCCTAAGTCATTCACCTACATTTCATAATTATTTTATTATTATTAAAGTTTAAGTGTTTGAGTCATATGAAATTCATTTTGGTATGTGGTATAAGATAGAGATCCAAGTATACATTTCATTCACATTGGATATCCAATTATACAATTTATTTAAAAAAAACACACCCATTTTCAAATTTCTGAGCCAATATTACATGATTTGTAATATACTGACTGGCCATGAAGTAGTTTTAGAATCTGGTAAAGCGAGTCCTCCTTCATTATTATTTTTTTCTTCCAATGTAATTTGTCCTCCACATTAACTCTTTCATATGAAAATTATAAGCACTTTTTTGACATTAACAAATTCTGTCTCAATTAAAATTGCATTAAATTTCTATGTTTCTCTTTGGAGTATAACAATAATATTAATTCTTAACACCAAAGTGTTTTGATATATCATTGAATTCTTTGGTTCTTATTTCTTAATATTCTTCATATAGGTTTATCATATGAAATTGATCTTATTTTTGAGTATTTTTACAGTTGTCACATTTTGAATTGGGTACATTTTCCTCCTCATTTATAGCTTGTTATTTTGGGCAATAAAAGCAACCTATAGATTTTTATATTTTTATCTTTTATTCAATGAATTTATTTAATCTTCTAAATTACAGTGGGTTTAAAAATAGAACATTTTGGACTCTAGGTATACAATCATTTTACATGTATATAAAAATTATTTTATTTCTTCTAATGTTTATATGGATTATATTACTTTAGCTGGATTCTCCGGAATAGTGTTGTATAATGATATAGACATATTTCACCTATTTTTAAGTTTCAAAAAAATCTTTGTAGTATTTCATATTAGTATTATATTTGCTGTTGGTTATTGATTTGCTGTTGATTATTAACTTGTTTAGGAGTTTCTTCTTTTCCTTTTTTACATAGTGTTATTATCAGAAATGGCTCCTGGGTTTATCAAATGTATTTTCATTATCTATTCTTAAAATTGTATGATATTTTTCCTTTAATTTGTGGATGTAATGAATTAAAATGGTTGGTATTTGATGTTGAACCAAACCTTAATTTCTGGAATTAATCCTACCTGCTGCATGCTGTGTTTTATTTACCAACATTTCATTTAGAATTATTGCATTTGCATTCCAACTTGGAATTGTTTATTTTTGTTCTTTTTTATGCTCTCTTTACCAAGTTTTTTTTTTTTATTAGAGATGTACTAGCTTTAAAAATATGAATTTTTGTGTTTTTAGTATTGTCCTGTGGTCTCAAGTAGTTCAAATAGCATTAGAATAAATTGTTCATTAAAAGTTAGCTAGTACTAATCTGTAAAATGATCTAATCCTGGTGACACTTTTGATTGTAGATCTTTAGTCAGTTCTCTGATTATTTTCAGTGACAATTAGTTTATTCAAGCTTTTGTTTAGAAAGAATATGTATTCTCTGTGAAATACAAAGTCCAAAGTTGTCTCTGTTATCAACCTTGTTGCTTGTATTATTCACATGCTTTATGTCCTCGTATATTTTATGCCTCAAGATTTGTCCAGTACTGAAAAATGTAATAAAATTATCAGCTCTAATGGCATTTTAAATTCTTTGTACTATTTTATTTATTTAAAATGTCACAACAAAACATGTAAAAGTATAAAAGATATGGCACACATTTGTTCATCTCTACCTCAAATGTAAAACTGACAACATTTTGGTACGTTTATTTTAGATGATGATTTATAGTTTTAAATAATTGGAACATTACAATTAATTAATCCATTTTCCAATATCATACCAGTTATTCTGAAGAGGGTAGACACTATCGTGAGTTTGGTGTGAATATTGCCCATGATTTATGCATTTACTACAAATATAACTATAACCAATAATAGTATTGATTTATGTGTTTTTAAAAATATAAATATGAATAATCAACTATAAACCATGAGTAATTTATTTTGGTCTTTTGTTTTGTAGGGATTTTTATTTTTCCAAATGGAAAATGGACTGAAGTGACAAAAAAACAATCAACAGCACTTACTTTAAAATACTAATTACTGTTCACTTTTACTACTCCTAATACTCTGGAAGGCTTGGCCCTAGCCACAGCCCTAGGTATTGAATAAAAAAGACAATCTCCTCTTTCACAGACCTTTTATCTGGGCTAGGAAGAGGCACATATACACCACCAGCCTCTTACTTCAAGGTAGTCATAGGCCTTATATTTTTCCTGGCATGATACTGGGGTTATTCCACTTTCTGATACTCAGAAGGTGGCTAGCCCTATTCCTAGCCCTCTTTTAAGAGTTTGGGACATAATATTGGATGAAAATCTTCCTATCTTAAATAACAGCAATCTCTCCTCTTTCCCTCCCCCTACCATGTAAAGACACATGTCTTATATAATATTGCTTTCTAGCTCCTGTTCTAGTTTTAGTTATAGTTCTCACCCTCCCCCAAATCTCAAGTCATGTATCATACATTATGATGACATGATGATATTGGTCCATATAGCAAAAGATTAGTTTGTCCCTAGACTAGGGCCTGGCGATGGAAGAATGAGTTATCCAGTCAAAACCCCTGCTCTTAGAGCATACATCCTAATGGGTTGAAGAAGACAAGTCATCATCAAGCTTAATGTAAGTCCTTTTGGTCTTATATTGTCTCATAATAATTTGAGTGTATACAAAAACTTGTCATTCAAAGAAAGGTTTATTCTAGTTCTACCTATGGTTTAGAGATTGAGGATAGAACAATGAAATAATTTAAAGAATGTAGAAAAAAAGTCAATGTAGAATATCATGTTCCACTATGCCTTTACTCCTAAATTTCTTGGCTCCTATACTAGAACTACATTTCTAATTATTCCATGGTAATATATGTATTTTTTCATCACACAAGCTTGCTTTGAGTCAAAGGGAGGATTTATAATGCTTCTGACATAGTTTTAGGAGGTGAAAATGTCCAGAAACTACATCCCTGGTCCCCTAGTACTTAATTATATTATTGTGGATGAAGATACATTCCTGTCTTCTTCACAGTGTGCTGTATGTATCAGGCTGTGATGATTTCTTTTTAAAAAGCTCAATAAGTAAGCCATGAATTAGGGTGTGTCTATTTTATATAGATGGACAGATAATTCCCCAGAAAACATGTCATTTGAATGGACATCTCAATAAAGTGAGACAGCAAATCATGTTGCTGGCACTTTGGGATAGACTGTTCCTAACTAGAGAGGTTTCTTGTTAGAGCCAAGTATGGCCAGATGGGATGTGAGCAAGGAGAAGAGAGATTGTTCCATAGAAGTTGGTCTTCATTATGTTAAACAAGTGAGGTGTTTCTAAGTTGGTGATTTTATAGTTTCAACAAGGCAAATTATGCATATTTTTATTTATTAAGATGTAATTCCATATAGTAAAAATGAACAGATCCTAACAGACTAAACTTTCCAGTTTTCCTTCTCTTATTGCTTTGAAGTTTCATGTTTTTGTGGTCAGAAAGATATTTTTGTGTTTTTAATTTTTTTTTTAATTTATTGAGAATTCTTTTGAGGATTAAATATGGTCTATCCTGGATAATAGTCCATGGGCATATGAGAAGAATATGTTTTCTGTTGTAGTCGGGTCTGTGAAAATGAAAATGAAATCCCTGTATGCAGACAAAAGCTCACAGACTGAGCCTCTAGAATAACCCTGGCATAAAAAGGGGACCTGTGCATCAAAGGGACAGAATCAGTTTTCAGCCTGTATTACTTCAGGCCTTTGAGTGGGTTGGAGAAACCCACCAACTCCCGAGACTATGCAGCCTATTGCTGTGAGACCCAGGTGTGACCCACATTAACATCTACCTTGGTGGCAAAGAGACTGTTTTAGTTGGCTTTTTAAATGCTATGACTAAAAGTATCTAACCAGAACAACTGTAGAGGAGGAAAAATTTATTTTAGGGATCACAGTTTTAGAGTTCTTAATCCATAGAAGGCCAGCTCCATTCCTCAGGGCTCAAGGTGAGGCAGAACATCATGGTGGAAGAATGTAGCAGAAGGAAGCGACTCACAGGATGATCAGGAAATAGAGACAGAGACTTCATTTGCTGGATGCAAATATATACCCCAAAGCCATGCCTCCAGTGCTCCACCTCCTCCAGCCCACACCCCCAGATTTCAGTTACCATTCAGTTAATCGCTATCAGGGGATTAATTCACTGATTGGCTTAAGCCTCTCATAATATTTTCTCCTCTGAAGCTTCTGCATTGTCTCACACATGAGCTTTTGAGAGACACCTCACATACAAATTATAAAAGACTGTATCTACCACATCTTTCCCAATTTGGGCAGCACAGATAGCACTAGGCCTGTGCTTTTAGATGAGGCTCTAGAAGTGTGTTCATACTTGGCACAGACTAATAGCCAAATAAGGCAGTCATGTTTCAGTCTGCATCACTGCCATTTGTGGCATGGTTGTTGGTGTACCCTTGAGATTGTGCAGGTGACTCAGGAAGGATCCATCTTAGCATCAACCTAGGTGACCAAGGGACTGCCTTTATCAATACTATCCCAACTTCAGGCAGTATAACATATTCTGGGAGTTAGGCAGAATAGTAAATACAAGTCTTTGCCTTGGTTTGTAGTACAGGATCAACAAAATCTGTCTCTATGGATTGAGCCTGTGAAACAACTTTGGTACCAAGGGAAACACATCTGGCCCCAGTCTATCAGTCTTCTAGCAAGCGTCACCTATGGATTATTGCAGTAGTCTTAAGCTAACAGTCTATCTCAGTAATAGGCAGCACATAATAGTATGGACCTTGGATCTACTGCAGTGTTGTGTTGGTATTGGTAAACTGTGATCATATAGTGTGGCACACTGTGGTGGCATTTGTAGCCACAGGCAAGTGTATTGTCCATCCAAGATGACTGCCCAACCTGGGTAGAATCCTTCAGTGCCTATGCACAGGTCATTAATTGCAGATGAGGAATCCAGGCCTACTCCAGGAAATGGCTTGTAGGAATAAAACATCTTTTGAGTTATTGTCCTGGTTGATTCAGAACAATACAACAACAGTGTATTTGGGACAAACCTGAATTTAGATTACCCTCTAGTACTGAAACAGCCACAAAACACCAGCAGAAAAGCAGTACATGGGTGCTATTCAGTGCTGAAGTAGCAGAAATTATTAGACACTTTCTCAATTATTATTGAGAAAATAGGTAAACTTCTTATAATTTCTGGGAAGACAGGAACAAAGAAGGTCAGGTGAGGAACACATAAATAATATATAAACCTTAAATGGCTGGGCAATGTCACATGCCAACAATCAGAACTTTCAGGAAACCAATATCTCAATTAGTACTCTAAGTAACTAGTACTCAAAATAAAGTACCAGAAACCAACAAGGCTGTAATGAGTATGAAAAAATTCTAAGACCAAGAATTTAAATCAACTGCTTTAAAGGAATTCAATGAACTTGGAGAGATTTGAAGAACTATTTCAGACACCAATGAAAAAACTTAATAGAGAAATATAAGAGATTTAAAAAACAATCAAATATATATCCTAGGATTGGAAAATACATTCAGTGATATTAACACAAAATAGAAGAAATAAAAGGCAGGATACATTAAAGAGAAAGAAGAATCAGTGCTGTACTAAAAAAATCTGTTGTTAAATAGACCTTAACAAGAGTAAAAGAAAAATAAGAATGAGGAGAAATGAAGATAAAATATGAAAAATTTAGGATATTATAAAAGAGGTTATATTATTATTGGAATTCAAGAGGTATTTGAGAATGACAAGTGGGAAGAAAGTTTATTCAAAGAATAACAACAGAAGTCTTCCCAAAGAAGGATACACATATTCAGAATCAGAGAAGGCAAAGGTCACCAATCAAACTCTCAAAGGTGAATATAAAGAGAAGATCCTCAAAGCTACAAGAGAAAATAAATGACTAAAACCTATGATTATCCTAGTTCACCTAACAGCCAATTTCTCAACAGAAAATTTCCAGGCTAGAAGGACGTGGCATAAAAATTTCAGTATTGTTAAGAGGGGAAAAACTTTTGAATAAGAATACTGTGCTCAGTAATGCTATCCTTATAAATGAAAGAGGAATAAATACTTTCTAAAACAAATAGAAGCTGACAGAATATATCTCTAAAAGCTGTTTTGCAAGAAATGCTAAAGGAAATTCTGGAAAGTGAAAGACATTAATGAAAAAGAATAAAACATAGGAATGTATAAAATTTTCTGATGAGAGAAATTACACAAATTAATTCAGAATGTTCTAATATTTTAAGTGTGGCACAAAAACCGTTTATAGCTTTAGTATGAAGAATACAAAAAGTAAAACCACAATAATAAGAATTACCTGAATATTTTAATCTATAGGCAATATAGAAAGATGTAAATTAGGATATCAAAAATTCATCATGTAAAGAGGCAAGAAATGCTACAGTATATTTTATCTTCTTCTGTTTATATTTGTGATCATTTTAAGTTGCTATCACTTAAAATTATATATATATATATATATATATATATATATCATTTAGTATAACAAAAGAAAATTTTGTAAGTCTCATGGTAACCACCAAACAAAAATATT